TATGCTAGCATAGAATACAAGCGTTGTATTTACCTAGTGTGTTGACAATGAATCTAGGAAAGGACTGGAGGCCCTTATCAACAATTTATTCCCTAGATGTCCTAATCACTAACAATATCACTAGTTAGCCCGCTGAGCTAATTCCATTGGACCGTCTTATTTGTAAACCGAGCAAATTCTTAAGATGCTTTTTTCCAAAGGGCTAGAAAAAAAAGTATTAAAAAAAAGAGAAAGAGAGAGAGGGGTAAAGAGAATAGAATAAATAAATAAATAAATAAATAAATAAAGAGAGAAAAAGAAAAAAAAAGGACAATAAAAAAGAATCGCTCTCATTCGAGTAATCTCAAAATATTTCACTCTTAAGGATGTCAAATGACATAACTACCCTTGAGTTAGCAGAATTCAAATTATGCTCGACATGTAGTTCTTTCCTACTGGTTAAGCATTTGATAGAGAAATGATGGAAGGCCCTCTTTTGGTCGATTGCCTTATCCCTTTTCGTCAAACCCTCTTTATTATTCATTTCACTAGTTATCCCTTTGAGCCTTTTTAGGAACACTTTCTTCAAATACACCCTCCTCTAAGGAGGATGTCATATGTTAATTGTGTGTGCATCTCAACAAGCTTTTTTGAAAGAAAAAAGAAACAAGAAGAAGAAATTTTTGGAGAAAAGTGAAAATGAGAAAAAAAATAAAGGAAGATGAGGCATCAAAGAAGAATTGGGGCAGCCAATTGCTACCAAGAGTGAAGAGAGAAGCAAACAAGAAAAAGTAGGGCATATGTGATGATCAAACCAATGAGATATTCATCCGTAATGACATCTGTTCTCAATTTTTATTTTAACATTACCCATTTACATTTCGTCCTATAATAAAGCCCTCCTTGATCACCCAGGTGCATGACCCATAGTATTCAAAGACATGAAAAGCACTTTGTTTCATTTATGGTTGCAAGGGTATTTAATTGAAGAAAAATAAGAGCGAGAGAATAATCTTGAGTAAAGACCGAAATGTGGATTCAAGCATCCGATACCCATCATAGTTTAAGTTTCTTGAGCCTTTTATCCCTTGTTTAGAACCCTTGCCCTAGGCCCCATTTCGTCTTAGTTAGAGGTCCTCTTTGATCCTTGAGAAATTGGTAACTAGCATTGGACAGACCTAAGTGGGCTAGAAAAAAAAAGAAAAAGAGAAGAGGCAAGAGAGAAAAAAAAAAGAAAAAAAAGGAGAAGAAGAGAAAGAGTCGATCCTAGTGATCCTCTAAAAACTAGGGGTAAAATAGTTCAAAGAAAAATCTCTTTATCAAAAGTTGAATACCAAAGAAGGTGAAGTGATCAATCATTTGAAGTGCGGCAAGAGCACCAATCAACACAGTTGAGCAAATTCAGAGTCGTCCCTCTTTTGAAACTTATGATCAACGCCCATTTTGAAAAATCATAGTCCTCTTTGTGCAAAATGGAGTAGTTATCTTCTTCTTGAGTTATCATTCTCAATTGATCCAAACTAGGGCAACCCCCCTTCCGATGGGTTTTTCTCGATATGAATCTTTGATCAACAATCATTGCATACCCAATGTTTATGTTTTCATGATTTAAAATGTGTTGATCATTCCGTTCCAAGGAGGAAGTTGTTACTTTGTCTCTTATCCCAATCTAGCAAGAATTCCCAAGTCTGACAACTTTTGAGTATCCATTATTTTGAATCACATGAATCTGACATTTTTAATATCATCTTTATTATATTTGGTTTTCTAATTGCACCTCATGTTGCTTATAAGAAAAAAAAATGCATTGTGTTTTCTTGATTAATCGACCAGTTAAAATTTTCATTTGAAAGCCATTCATTATTTGAAGAATCATGTTCTCAATTAGTCATATCATGCTTTTTAAGATCATCCAGCTTCCATATAGTCATATCATCTCCCGTAGTATGGCATAGAAACCAATGTTTGATCATTAAATCTGTTTTAAAGTCCATTGTGACATCAAAGTCCCACGTGGCACCAAAGTCCGTTATGGCATTAAAGTCCTTCATGGCACCAAACTCTCTCGTGGCAAAATATCAAAGTTTTGTGGATAATTACATCATGGCATAACATGGCCTTTACTAATTGCATCACGGCTTATCGCACATCAAATTTGAAAATCATTCATCGAAGTTAAATCTGTTTCAAAGTCCCTTGTGGCATTAAAGTTCCTCATGGCACCAAAGTCTGTTACGGCATTAAAGTCTTTCATGACACCAAAGTCCCTCATGGCAGAATATCGAAGTTTTGTAGATAATTGCATCATGACATAGCATAACCTTTGCTAATTGCATCGCGGTTTATCTCACATCAAATTTGAAAATCATTTGTTAAAATCATTCATGTGAGTTAAATCTGTTTCAAAGTCCATTGTGGCATCAAAGTCCCTCGTGACACCAAACTCCATTACGACATTAAAGTCCTTCATGGCACCAAAGTCCCTCATGGCAGAATATCGAAGTTTTGTGGATAATTTTATCATGGCATAGCATGAACTTTCCTAATTGCATCACAGCTTATCGCACTTCAAATTTGAAAATCATTTGTTAAAATCATTCATCTAAGTTAAATTTATTTCAAAGTCTCTTGTGGCACTAAAGTTTGTTATGACATTAAAGTCTTTCATGGCACCAAAGTCCCTTGTGGCAGAATATCGAATTTTTGTGGATAATTGCATCATGGCATAGCATGACATTTGATAATTGCATTGCGGCTTATCACGCATTAGATTTGTTAAAGTCATTCATTTGAATTATATCAATGTCAAAATCCATTACGACATTAAAATCTGTTACGACATCAAAGCCCTTTATGGCATCAAAGCCCTTCGCGGCATCTAAAGCCCTTCATGGCACTAAAGTCCCTTGCGACATTAAAGTCTGTTACGACACCAAGACCCTTCATGCCACTAAAGTCCCTTGTGGCAGAGTATCAATGTTTCTCGGCTTAACGCACATAAAAGTTATCTAAATCTCATTTGAATCATACAAGTATCAAAGTCCCTTGTGGCGTCAAAGTCCGTTGCGGCATCTAAAGCCCTTCATGGCGCCAAAGTCCCTCGCAGCATCTTAAGCACCTCGTGGCACTAAAGTCCCTCACGATGCTAAAGTCTTTCATGGCATCAAAGCCCCTTGTAGCGAAGATGTTAACATTGTTTCGCATCATTGCATATCATAAATCTTGTTGTTTTCCGTTTTTAGAACATTACTATTTGAGCTGTGGCATAACACGTTTTTGCAACATAGTATATCCAAAGAAGAAGAAGAAGAAGAAAAGAGATAATAAGAGGAGAAGAAACTTTGGTAATGAGAGTCTTGATGACAGGTCCTTCATTTCTAGGCATATGACAGCATGTCCAACAATCTCATAACCTTAGATGATTTTGTTATTCTGTTGAAATTCTCTATCATTCCTTGATGAGCACAAAGAAAACAAATAACTCAAGATATCATATTAATCGTGCATTAATCATGCATTGACATCTGTCACACACTTGAAAGCACAACACTCTGCATTATCATTGGATTTATCGAGTGCTTCATTGAAGTTTTCGAGCATAGACTTCTCTTACATGGAAGGATGTCTCTCGCCTACCAAAAGAATAATTACGCTATATTAACCATAGGACCTTTGTCAAGTTTTGAAATGTTTTACTAAGGATTTTAAAATGTTTTCTAAAGAATATGTGCTTGTGTTGTGATTGCACTTTGCAATAAGCTTAACTATTTTGCTCTTGAATTACTTTTGATGTTGTGTTGTTATTGGATTCTAGTGCCCTCCTTTATAGCAAATGTACCTTGATTCCGCAAGGTTTCTGATACCTAAGAGGGGTCTTTCTTCCAAAATGAGTACTTTTCATATTATCATTTGTTTTTTTGTTTTTTGTTTTTTGTTTTTTGTTTTTTTTTTTTTTTACGACAAATGTACCTTGATTCCTAAGGTTCTTGATACTTGGAAATGTTACTTTACTAAGAATAAAATGGCCTGAACATGATGAAATGCTGCTACACGAGAACTCTTTTTCGTCTCAGCCCTCCTTCCTCATTTTGCTCCACTTTCGAGCCTACCCTTCACAAAAATCTTTGTGTGCTTCTTTTGGTCTTTGTTGTTTCGAGCCTAGTTTTCCTATTAGCACACGATTTTTGTTCGGTCTGCTGCCTAAGCCTCCGATTCACCCCAAACACCCGATCAGACCTTTTTGACCTCTCCAAAACACCCAGAAACCTAGAAAACCCAAATTTCACCCCAAAAGCCCTTAGATCCACCGTTAAACCTACCTTATACCTATCTAATGACCCCGATCAACCCTCACTTACACCTCAACCATTAGATCAGATACAACCATCAGACCCCAGAAACCTCCAAATACCCACCCGTAAAATTTCATCCCAAAACACCTTTTCTTACCCCTCCATCGCACCAAAATTCCATTTTAAGGCTTCTGATTGATCAGATTCCAAGCCCACCCGATCCAGGCCCAACTGACCCAACCTAACCTTACCAATCACCTCGGGTTACCTAGAAATAATACCCTATGAAATTTCACCCAAAACTACCTTCATTTGCCCTTCATCACACAAAGATTCTATTTTGAACCTTTAGATTAACCGAATCAAACCCTTTTCGGATCTGACTAATCCAAGCCCAACTGGGCCAATCTGACCCCACCAATCAACTCGGAATGTCCAAAAATCCCTCCTCATGAACTTTCATTCACAAGTACCCCTGTTTTCCTCTTCATCTAAAAAGATTCCATTTCAGACCATCTCACTAGCCCTCACACACAGAACCCCATCTACGGTCAGAACCATCTCAACCCTCCATTCTTGACCCAAAACCTTAGCCGTCTATACCCTGGTTTGACTGCCCTTTGACCCGTTTTGATCATACTTTTCCAAAATTACAATACTACCCCTCGTATTCCCTAAAAGTACAAAAAGGCCCCTGCCTCTCATATGACTTCAACCGAAGCTTTGTATTCGCCCTAACAGGGAGAGAGACGGCAGTGAGGTGATTTTCACCATCTTCTTCCTTCGAAGAAAGAAAAACCAGCGGCAGTAACCCTTTCAGCTCCGGCGTATCCTCTCATCTTTCCAGTAGCCTCCTCTCCCATTCACTCCCTCAGTCCCTCTCGCTCATTCTCCCTCTCCAACGAAACAAACCAAGCGCCAGGGGGCCGACGAGACCACTGTCGAGGGGTTTTCTGGAGAAGTCCACTGTTCATCGTCTTCTCCCTCCGAAGGCGAACCAGCGGCGGCCGCCTTGAGTTTCTCACCGTCGCACTTCTCCATATTCGTTGTTCCCCATCAGACTCGATACAGAGGCGGCGAGCCTCCCTCTAAGCGTCTCCTCTCTTTCCCTTGTTACCGATCTAAAAACTCATCATCGTCACTGCAACTTCCCGTAGCGGCGAAATCCAACCGTTCGTCAGTCGTTTACCAGTTCGAAAAAAAGATCAGAAACGATTACCGTTGCAGTATTCAATCTCAGGCTATATCGACTCTGGTAAATCCTTTCCCTACTGTAGTTTTTTTAATCCATCACCGTAAGGCTAGAATTTATTAGTTTGATATTCATAATTTTAGCATAACTGGTGTTTGGGATGGGAAACGACTGGGAGACCCATTGTCACCCTTACTATTCAGCTTAGTAGCTGATGTTTTGAGTGAGTTGATCTCAAGGGCAGCTGCTAACAATGTGATTAGAGGTGGTGACATGGATTGGGAGGGAGGAAGTGGTGGTGATACATCTATAGTTTGCAAATGACATCATCCTATTTTGTGAAGGGGAAGATGAAGAGCTCCTAAATTTAAAATGATTAGTTCACCAGTTTGAGAAAATTTCCAATCTCAAAGTTAGCTGAGAAGAGAGTTGTGTGGCAGGAGTAGACCTAGGGAGGGAAGAGGTGGACAATCTAGCTAGAGTGTTGGGATGCGAGGTGGGCCTGGGACTACCTTTAGGAGATCCAAATGCAAAGAGTTTTTGGTACCTAGTAAATGAAAGATTCACTAAGAGACTTGCAAATTGGAAGAGGAACTACATCTCCTTAAGTGTAAGGATAACTTTAATCAAGTCTACATTGGCCAATTTACCGGTGTACTTCTTGTCTATATTAAAAGTACCAGTGAAAGTGGCAAACCAGATTAGACCTATTCATGGGCCGGGTAGCCCGACGGGCTGGCCCAAACCAACCTGATCTAAGTCGGGCTTGGACAAGATTTTAGGCCCGTGGGCTTGGGCTCGGGCCTAAAATATTGGGCCCGACTTTTTTTTGGGCTGAGCTTGGGCTTTCTCAAAAAAGCCCAGCCTGAGCCCGAACCCGACTTGATAATGTATTATATTAATAAAATATATTTTATATAATAAAAAAGCATATATATAATTTGTTTTCTTTATTTTTCTTCTCTTTTTTCAAGTAATAATGAGACTTCATTAATCATTTAGGTTTTGAGGTCTTTTAGTATAAATAAGACATCTTTTAATTGAATTAAAAAGGATTGGGCTTCGGGCTTTATATGAGGACCGGGCTTGGGCTCAAGGCCTAGGTCCGATGGTTGGACCGGGCTTGGGCTTGGGCCTAAACATATTCTGTTAATGTAGAGGTAAAGCCTGACCCAGCCCATGAACAGGTCTAAACTAGATGGAGAAGATCATGAGGGACTTTCTGTGGGAATTGGTGGATACAAGAAGGATCACCTAGTGAAGTGGGTAGGGTTGAAGGAGGAATAGGGTTGGGAATATTAGATTAAGGAATATAGCTTTGTTGGGGAAATAGCTATGGAGACTGAACCATAAAAAAATGGCTATGGAGACAATTGATGGACAGTGATTTAAAAGGCACGCCTGAGGCGCTCCTAGACGCACAGGCGAGGCGCATTTTGGGGTATGCCTAGCATAGACTTGTTTGGGCTTGCCTCAAGGGGCATGGTACAAACGCGACTCATAGAATCAAGAATGCACGTTAGCTACTTGAAGCAATGCACTTAAGGAAAAAAAGAGATTGTGGGTTTTTCATGCGTGAAAATGCTTTATTTGTTTGCTTTTATTTTTAAATTTACATTTGAATACACTTTACATGTTATGTTTATATATTTTAATTTTAGATGATAGACTTTTTAAATAATTTATTTTAAAATTTAAGTTTATACTTTTTATTAACATTATGTTTAATGTTTTTTTGAATTTTTTGCATTTTTTTACCTTTTTTTTGAAATTTTACACCTTTCTTAAAAAGGCGCGTGCCTCGCCTTACACCTCAGGCGCAAATTGGCCCTTGCGCTTTTTTTGCTCCTTGCGCTTTTAAAACACTACTGATAGAACATGATAGACTATGGTATAGACAATGACATGATAGACTATGGTATAGACAATGATTTAAAAGGCGCGCCTAGGCTCATAGGCACAACCCATTTTGCGCCTTAGCCCAGACGTGCGCCTTTTGAAAATTTGCTGATTTTTCCTTTTGTTTTTTTTGAGTTTGGCAGTTGGGCCAAGGGTTTTCCGCCCCCGGACTTTGTGCCATGCCCCTCGAGGCCAGCTCAAACAAGTCCATGTTAGGGTCTTAAATTCTTACTTTTCACACAAAAAATAATAATTTTATAGTTTTAATAGCTTTTAAGAAGATATTTTATTAGGATGAATGAATGGACAACATTACCAAATAGGGGATTTTCGAACTAAGAATTTAAGACGCTAACATGGACTTGTTTGGGCTTGCCTCGAGGGGCGAGGCACAAAGGCGGCTTGTAGAATTATGAATGTAATATGTCACATTAGCTACTTGATGCAATTGAGAAAAAAAGAGATTGTGGGTTTTTATATGCTTGAAAATGTTTTATATGTATGATTTCATTTTTAAATTCTCATTTGAATATGCTTTGCATATTACATTTATGTATTTTAATTTTAGATAATAGGTTTTTTAAAACATTTATTTTAAAACTTAAGTTTATATTTTTATTAATATTATGTTTTATATTTTTTTTTTGATTTTTTGATTTTTTAGATTTTTCTAAATTGTGCGCCTTGCCTCAAAAAGGCGTGCGCCTTACCTTGCTCCTTACGCCTTTTTTGCGCCTCGCGCTTTTAAAACACTGGGTATAGAGTCACTGTGAGTATACATGGATTGGCAGACAATGGTTGGGATGTGGATCTTGACCGTAGGGCTTCTCGTTGCTCCCCTTGGAAAGCTATTCCTTGTATTTTTCCCTACATGCTTTATTTATTTATTTATTTATTTCAAATATGATGTCTGTTCAGGTAACAAATTGTTGTTTTGGAAGATATTTGGGTTGGTGGGAGTTCCCTTAGAGATAGGTTTCCCCATATCTGTTCTATTTCAGAAAATAGAAGAAAAGTGATTTCTTCGTTCTTTACAAATAACTCATGGGATATAGGTCTAAGGAGAGGGTTAAGGGAGTAAAAAATGGGGCTGGTTGATGAACTTATTACTCTCTTAGTGACGGTTTACTTGGATCAGTCTTGCTTGGATAGTAGAATTTGGAAACCTTTTCCGTTTGGTTATCACCTGCTCTTCCTTCTTTGATGTTCTCATTCAGTCCTCTAATAGTGTCAGGAACTTTCCAACAAAGGAGGTTTCGTGTAGTCCAATACCTCCAAAGATTAGGGCTTTTTTCTGGGAAGTTGTACTCCAAAAAATCAACACCTTGGATTTGCTGCAAAGAAAAAGGCCAAACATTTGCCTTTCACCCCATGTTTGTCATATCTACTTGGATTTTGGTGAGTCGACCACACATCTTAATCTCCTGTCCATTTGTGCTCTTTATTTGGTTTGGGTTCTCTTCTCTCTTTGGTTGCAAGTGGACACCTCCCTCGAATGTGGTGGGCCTCTTTGACCCACATTTCTTTAGGCAATCAAATAAGCGCAGAACAGTAATGTGCAGAGCTAAAAGAGCAGCTATACTTAGGTCAATTTGGGAGGAAAGAAACAATAGATTTTTTAAGAATGAGTATAGCTCCAAGGAGGACATTGTAGAAAGTATAATGATTAGCGTGATTCACTGGCTGAAAACAGCTGATCTTGTTTACAAATGTCTTAGCTGATGATATCTACAGAAAATGGAGTGCTATGGCAGGTACTTCTCTATTTTAAACAATGGATCTGTTTACAAATGTCTTAGTTGATGATATCTACAGGAAATGGAGTGCTACTTCAGGTACTTCTCCGTTCAAGCTGGTAGTACTGGAAGTTTGGATTCCACCAACACAACAAAGGGCGAAGCTGAATTTTGATGGAAGCTCTTACGTAATCCAGGTCCATTAGGTATAGGGGGTGTATTCAGAGATGGAGAAGGCAGAATAATTACTATGTACTCAGGTCCAATAGGAGTGGGAGATTCTTTGAGAGCAGAGGTCATGGCTTTGCTTCAAGGGGTAAGATTTGCGAAACAGTTAGGACTACACTAAATTGAAATAGAAAGGCATGGTTTCAAAAGTTGCTAATGTCACCCGACATATGTTGATGTCGAGGCTCACCGACATTAAAATGGATGGTAATATAAAAATTACATTATTTTGGTCGACATTTCCTATATTTCGGAAATGTCGACCAAATCGGTCCAAATAACCAAAAAAAATACAGTTTTTCCTATTATGTCGACAGGATGTCAACTAATGTCGACTAATGTACATTAATAATATAATATATTAGTATATTATATTAATATAATACAGTATATTAATATAAATTATTCCATTAATAATTTCAATTTAATATTTCAAATAAAATATTTATAAAAAAGAATTAACAAAATGTAAAAACAAAAGAATAAATTAATTACTTTATAATATAAAACATAAAATACTTTTCAA